TGCTCTCAAAACTTCTGCTCTCTTTCAAATATTCTCTGTGCTCTCTCGCGCTCAAATTTTCTGCTTGCGCGCAAAACTTCCCTCTGCACGGATCAAATCTCCGCTCGCAAACCTCTCTGCTCGCTTGCGAATTCTTTCCTGCTCTTGTGCGGAACAAGGAGTACCGTTGCCTGGCAACCGTCTATTGGCTGGGACACGCCAGCAAAATCTGAGCGTGAACACAAAGATTTGAGAGAGCACAGAGAATATTTGAAAGAGAGCAGAAGTTTTGAGTGCAAGCGTTACAAGTTTTGAATTCCTGCTTTCAAACTGAAAATGTGTGCTCTCAACTTACAGTATGTCGGTAAAATTACATACACACTTTATCACACCCTAAGTACATCATTGTAATAACCACCTCTTTTCTTTCTGTTTATTTTTATTTTTATTTGTTTACAAAGATCCCCTGTGACTAAATCTGCTGATCCATTCACTGAACGCGTGAAATCTTCAAGTAAAGAGTAAGATTCAATTATTGTACGAAACAATACAAAATAATGAAACTATATTTTGCTTAGTTCTCATTAGAGGAGCGTTTACTGTTTTTTTTTTTAATATGTTTTTTTAGATCCGAGTTATGATTATTGGTTAAAATAACTCAATATTTCATGAGTTAGCTTCATCTCAACAAAACTATATTTCACATTTGTATCTGTGACGTGTCCCTTTAGGGTAGACCTGCCTGGATCTTTTAAATAAGCTCTTAAAACATGAAAAAATGCAAAACATTATTTTTCATATTATAAATCTGTTTGTTTAGGTTTTTTTTTTTTAAATTCAATTCATTTAATTTATATAGCGCCAAATCACAACAGAAGTTGTCTCAGGGCACTGAACAGAATCATTCACATACAAACAAAAGCCATTTAGTGAAGTTCTTGATCTAAGGAAGCAGCAGACACGTTGAGTCTTCACTTCGTCGCAGTCTCCCATCCTGAGCAAACACAAAGGAGACAGTGGAAAGGAAAAACTCCCTTTTAACAAGAAGAAACCTCCAGCAGATCCAAGCAAGCAGCCATCTGCTTCGACCGGCTGGGTTTGAGAGGATAGGAAGGAGAAACAAATGCAGAATGGCAGGTCCAGATGTTGGTGCAGGTGTACCCCTTATTGGAAGAAACACAAAAATTACAAATACAAAACTGGTTGAGTAGAGCAAGTAAAGACAGCAGCAGAGTTAATGTGGTCAGTTTGTCCTCCAGCAGTCTAAGCCTATAGCAGCATAACTAAAGGATAGCTCAGGAAACCCAAGCCAACCCTAACTATAGGATTTATCAAAAAGGAAAGACTTAAGCCTAAGCTTAAAAGTAGACAAGATGTCAGCCTGATTGACAGAAACTGAAAGTTGGGTCCACAAGAGAGGAGCCTGATAACTGAAAGCTCTGCTTCCAATTTTGCTTTTGGAAACTCTAGGAACCACTAGTAAACCCGCAGTCTGAAAATTAAACAAACAGTGAGGCACAAAAGGTCTTTTGTTGTCTTTTGATTATAAATTCTTGGAAAATAAGCAACAAATGCACTAGTTCTAAAAGATATTCAGTTGTCTGCTTCTTTGTTCTTATTGAATGTAAGATTGTTGTCACATCTTGTTTGTTTGTTTGTTTGTTTGTTTACACCCAGTTCCCAGTACTCAACATACTCACCTACCAGAACAACAAAAGTGGCAGAGCAATCAATAACCACCACCAAAGAGTAAGCTGTGATCAGATGATTAGCTACCGTGGAGCTGAATCCTCCTCTGACCCACCATTTAACTTATCCCGCTTCTGTGCAGCGCCGAGGACAAACTGTTGGACACTCTCCTCCAGTCACCTTCAAAGGATGATTTCTCATCTCCAAACAGGTAACATATTTATAATCAAAGCCTTTCAGGACAGTATTCTGATTATAAGACTGAGCCAAATGTCATGATGAGCATGCATTCCTTCCTCTTTGCAGCAAAATGACAACTCAGACTGTGACGGTGAAAAGTAGCGCTGATGCTGAGTAAGTTCATTTCATAATATCTGTCGTTGCTCTGCGCCTCAGAGCCTGACCGCTGATCTACTGCAGCTCCAGAAACGTTAGTTAGCATGAAACAGTGTTACAACAAGAATGTGCATCAGCAGCTGTAGCTGCTTGTCTTTGCTCCTTGCATAGTAATTGTTTTATTTCCCTAGAATAAGTCAGTGCTCAGATGGTCTGTAGGTGTGTGAGAGAAAGTGTGAGTGTCAGCGTGCCTGTTGTCCTCACACTATCTCAGCCAGGACAACAGTTTAACATTTACATTTTGTAACAACTAAGTCCATGCTCAATAATCCAGGTATACAATCCAACATTTTTCAGTCAGGTCATCTGGACAGTTTCTTTTTTTGTGCTGAAACGTTTCGCCTCCGATCCAGAAGGCTTCATCAGTCAAGGAAACACACAACACAAAACTGATTCTTCCCCCAACAACTTACTCCAAAGTGGAAAAAAACAGTTCTGCTTGTGATAAGATGGTCTCTTTGGTACGCCCCCTCCTCGATTGCCAGCCCTCTTCTTTGTTGACAGTCTTGTCAAACTGGTTGAAAACAACTAAGTCCATGCTCAATAATCCACGTATACAATCCAACATTTTTCAGTCAAGTCATCCGGACAGTTTCTTTTTTTGTGCTGAAACATTTCGCCTTCCATCCAGAAGGCTTCATCAGTCAAGGAAACACACAAAACAAAACTGATTCTTCCCCCAACTGTCCAGATGACCTGACTGAAATTTGTTGGATTAGCCATAGGAGTCAACCCTGTTGGTCGGTTAGCAAAATATCTCATAAACTGCAAAGCATATGTTACTGAAGCCTTTAAAAAATAATAACTGAATGTACATCTACAACAGATTTACTTTTGTTCTCAATCCAGTTCAAGATAGCTGCTACAGCTAACGTGGGACAACATAAAAATGTCTTGAACTGAGTAAATTTTCCCAATACCGAAATAAACTAACATGTGACGTGATGTAGCTAAGAGTAATCACTTTCACATATATTATATTTTTAATTTTAAAAATGTATCCATCCATCCATGGATGTTTGAGAATGGTTATGAATAAATTCTGAATACAAAGCAAAAATAATTCAAAATAAATATTCTCAGAGATTTATAAATATTGCTTCACAACTAAGATGGTTTGGTTTGATCACAGTTAGTGATCCTCTAAGAACTTTGAAGGTCATTGGTGACTTCACAATGAGCCTCATACAGACATTTCAGTACAGATGTGCGCAGCTGTAAGATGTTCCAGCTATTGTTTCATGCTGTCCTTTGTCAATTGTGTTGTGTAAAATGGTAACAAGAAACAAACAACGTTCTGGTCATCAAATTAATTGACAAAAAGATTATTTTTTTCCTTGCAGCGCTGAGGACAAACTCTACGACTCGCTCATTCCCAGGTCTCTCAAAAATAATGGCTCAGACAGGTAACAGACTTTAATTTACGTTATATAATCCTGTGATAAACAGTCTAAACTCTATTATTTTATTTTAGGTGTAGAGAAATATGTATAACAAGTGCGTGATGTATTTTTCCTTTTTCAGCAAATCAACAATCACTTCATCTGAGACTGTGACCGTAAAGAGTAGCTATGATGAGTAAGTTTCCACCCCACACACCACAGCTTGAATATATTTCAGATCAATTAGCATTTACTTCAGTGAGGTGAAAACGGTTTTGATACAGGATTCATATTAAAGACTATATTTGTTACTAAAACTTTATTTATTTATTTTGCCATTTGTGAAGTTGAGGCTGGTATGCCAAAAATAAATCTAAACCAGCAATATAATCAACCTTCAAATGTCTTCTGCTGCTCTGTGTCTCAAAGTCTGATTGGTTTTAAAGGGACAGTTCAGATCTTTTGTTGTAGGGTTCTTTGGAAAAGTTATAAACCATTAATATCTTACCTGCTACTGATAGCTTTTTGAACTCTTAGTTTGGAGAAACAGGAGTTTCAGCCTTTAGACCGGCCCATTTAAGTTTGGAACTGCCTAAAGAAAAAGTGTATTCATGCTGCAGCACATCATCACCTGCTAACATCTTACAGCTTACTTATTCTTTTCTCTGTTTGGACTAATTTATAGTTTTATATGTTTTTTTTTTTAAGTCACTCAGTATGGCTCACATTATTTTTCAGAGATTTTCAATTTTTAATTTTTGTCTTTTTGGCACCACCTTTGCTTTTTAAAGTGTACATCAGTATTTCACTCAGGTATTTCTCTGAGGCCTTTATCTCATAGAGCTCTTAGCTGGTTGTTCAGATTTAAACTCTATTTCTCCGAAGTGACATTGTTCAAAGAACTATGTGTAGTGAACTAGGCCTGAGGTCAAATCCTGACCTTAAGGACCTTATGGGACAGAAACTGTCATTTCATTGATTTGAATCCAGAAATACAGGTTGACCCATCCTGAGACTTTCTTTCTTGAATTAATCAAGTGAAAGAAGACTACTTTCGATTATCATTACTATTTTACAAATGTTTGATAATCAAATTGTGTTAGTTCAAACAATGTTTAAATGTTGAAGTGAACTACTCATTTTTAAATCAACTGTGAAACAGTAATAACGATTTTTAATCCTCATTCAAAGTGGAAATCAAGTTGGAATATGTTACAGAGTAATGATTCAATTTCTTGATCGTCTGTTTGAAATGAGCAAGTTGTGTAAGTTGGTCAAAGTTCAAGTTTCGGTCAACTGCAAGTTTACTGAAAAAGAAATGTCATGTTTAACTTTTACAGCAAGATACTGGGGCCGAGATGGTGTAGAGGCAGGGCAGCCGGCTTGGGACCCGAGAGTCCCAGGTTCGATCCCCAGTCACTGCACATCACGTGGCGTCTCTGGGCAGCACGTCTAATCCCCAAAATGTCCCCCGGGCGCTTTCAATAGCTGCCCACTGCACCACCTGGTGGTGGATGGGTTAAATGCAGAGACTAATTTCGCCATTGTATGGAAACATACAGTGCTGACATTGTGATGACATTATTATTATTATTATTAGAGAATTGACTCCACGAAGTCTGAGTTCTTCATAATATCTTCTGTCTGTTCTTAAACAATCTTAATCTTTTTCCTTGACTTTTTAATAACACCTTACATCACAAAACACACCTCTGTTTTGGTCCATCGACCAATCAGAAACTCCCAAATGAACCGGAAACAGAGCTCTTTAAATGTCGGTACTTCCTAGTTCAACCCAGTTGGAGTCGGGTGGAGAGTTTGCAGCTCCAGTCGTTTGGGAGAACAGAAGTCCAGCATAATCCAGAGCTCTTCCGAGTCTTGTGGGAATTATGACATCTTCCACCTCTGAGTGGAACTTCTGAAGGACTCCACTCATGTGAAGTCCACCCGTGAGGTGAACTATTGTTGATGAAGTCCCGCCACCACTCCGGACGGTTCTCTGCCATCCTACGGAGACGCTGGACCGGTAGCTTAACTGGAGCTCCGCTTCCACTGATTCATCGTCAGAGAGGTAATGAGTCGAGTTGACTACCGAGCGTACCGAGGAAAGCTGGGTCGAATGGAGGGTGCCGTTCTGTTCAACACTTTTCACTCACACACACACCATCTCCCTCCCTCTAAACTTCAATCTTTAAACTCTTCTATCTGCTAGCAAATTAATCCAGATATTTCCAGAAATGTCTGTTGTGAAGTTTTTCAACCATCGCCGTATGGTTAATGTCTGTTGTACTGCTGGAAGTGAGAAAACAATCGCCGTATTGTCTACTCCTTGTAAAACTTGCTAAATTAGCCATGTTGTTATAAATCATTTTGCCAAATTAATGTAAATGTGTGATGTGTTTAAATCGTTTTTAAATAAATGACCCACTGTCGTTGGTGAGTCAAAGATAAACACATTTCCGCCCACATTTTATTAAATTCAATGCACGTACATTATACAGTCCAGAAAAATGAAAGAATCCGTTTAATTTATGAATATATATCAGCATATGTTCATCTACATATGTAAAACAGGTAAGATATTAATTGATCATCACATTTTCACAGCACCCCATTTCAAATGATCCGTTAATCCCTTTAAGAAATCTTCTTTTTTAAAGGTTTTTTTGTACATAGAACAAAATGATTACAATACAACAGGTAAACAAACCATTTTGTTTTTGTTGTTTGTTTGTTTGTTTCTGACAGTGCTGAGGACGATTACATTCGCAGGTCTATCCGAGATGATTCCACAAACATGTAATTGTCTTTATTATGTACCAGATCAATTTTACCTGTTAGTAACACTTAATAAACATTTTACAAAAAGTTTAAACTAATAGTTTTGTGTTGGTAAACGGCAATTAGAGTAACTAAAATATGCAAATAGCAAAAATAGTTAGCAAAATGGTATAACTACAGGACTGAGTCATGATCCATGTTTGAATTTTATTCTTATTTCCCTATAAGTGCCATGTACCGCTACAATGATGTATAATAGTTAAGTAATATAATATTCTTCTATGCAGTAAATCATCTGTGACCAGTACTGAGACCTGGACCATTAAAAGTACTTCCATCAGGTATGTTAATCCAGTTTCTGCACCCAGTGGCTTTGAAAAGAGCTCAATTTGATGAAAATTATTATTTTTTATATATTTTAGAGACATTAAATCAACAAGCCCAACAAAAACTTCCTCAGAGTAAGAAAAATACTCCATCGATTTTCAATTATTTGCATATATTTAATCAAAATAGTTGAATTGTGGTTTCAGTGATTTCAAATATTCTTGTTGTTATATAGGCCGGAGGATGCACTGTACGACTCCCTCCTGCCTAAAGCCATCACATCTCCTGTCAGGTAAGATCTCTCAGTAAATAATAACACAATCAATAAAAAAAGGAGATTGGTTATCATTTGGTAAAATATTTTCTCTGTTCTAACACAAGCACCACAAAGAGAGACGTCATCATAACGGAGAGCAGCAGAGGGTGAGAGGCTTAAAGTGTCCATTTCTTGTTCATTCTTTTGCATGTGTGGAACGTGGATCCTGACATTTTATTTTGTGATATTTAGAAGAGAAAGTCCGACTCTGACAACACCAACCTCAACACGCACCAGCAGGTAAATACAATCTCAAAACTTTCAGAGCATACTTTGTTGAAAGTCCTCCTGAGGTTTCACTTTATTTGTCTCTAGTTAGAGTTGGTCTTTATTAAAGTTCTTGGTATAACTGGCATATACAGGCCCCGTTCAGCTCCTAATATCTCCGTGAAGGACCTAGTGGATATATTTTCCAAGTATGTAAATAGAAAAATGCATCCTTTGGGTGATTTTTAAAACTGATTGCCTTTCTGTCATGTTGGATTGTTACAAGTAATCATGTAACCTTCAAGGCCTGATCGTAAAAATCTCATAATTTAAGGATTTATTCCCATCCAATGAGAATAAAAACAGTCTAACTTCTGTTTTATTTAATCTTGAAATCAAAGTTGCACAATGCATCAGGAACAGTCACATCAAAAAAATCACAAGCACAAATTAATCTTGAGTGGCTCTGAGAACCCTAATGAGAATACTGAAATCTACTTAATCTACTGAAATCCAACTTAACACCAAAGATGTGACTTATTTATTGATTACAAATGCCATAAAATAATTATCATTAATCATTAAATTATGACTTTCGTTCTAATCATAAACATGCATGCATTGTTCAAAAAGTCCTTTCGCCGATACCGCCATCTTTGTTCTACATAAAATGTTGTGGTCCTGTTTGGGGACACCCGGTGTGAGACTTGAACAATTTGTTCTAATGTGAAAATGGGTCTTGGAGATCGCTGTGCCATGTGTACATGTGCAACAATGACCGCAGATTCAAGAGCCAGTGACAATATATGGAATAAAGAAAACTTCTGATATATGCACTGAGGTTTAGTAATATAGTATATTATAGTGGTAGTATTAGAGGTTTAGTAATACAGTATAGTATAATTGTAGTATTAGAGGTTTAGTAATACAGTATAGTATAGTTGCAGTAT